CCCCAAAACCCCAAAACCCCAAAACCCCAAAACCCCAATATCTAAAAATAACATTGGGAGGTATTAAAGTCATCTTTTTAAATATAAAATAGCAACTGAGTAAAGTTGAGGTCTTCAGGCGAAAATAGCTTATTGTCCTAAACCACTTTAGCAGCTGAGTTAGAATGTTTGCTTTAAGATTTCGATCAAAAATCAGTCGAAAGATATGAATTAATGTAAAACTATCGGGTAGGCTGAAACCTCCAATTTTTATTCAGAAAATTTGCTAATTTCAAAAATCGAGTTTGGTGTTTAAAAATGATTCTCGTAGAACTGTAAAACAAAGACTTAATGAGTCATTTTGTGCATATTAGATTAGACAACAATGCTAGGATGCTAATTATAATTATTCATAATGCTACATAAGTAGCTGAGAAAGTGCTAAATAGAGATAAACTATAATTACACAAGTATACTTTCTTCAATATTAAGATTTAATTATCTCAAAATACAATTACTCTACTAAAAAATGTTAAAACTAGCACTAATTCTTGCCCAGCATCATAGAAATTATATAAGAAGAGACTAAGAAATATCTTTGAGAGTTATCAAATTTATCGTCTCAAAGTGAGTTTATTCAAGGATTTATGAATCATCATATTCTTTAAAAGTATATATAATGAATCCCTCCTAATCCTAACTCTTTTCAAAACACTATGAACCATTCTCTATCAGAAAGAAAGCTGATTGGCCTCTCAAAACCTGACGAAAACAAGTCTTATCTTCAAACCTTGATTAAAAATCCTACATAAGAAGAGGTCTTCTAACATTCCTGACTTGTCTGAAGAATTTCTTTTTCTTACTAATAGAATCTAGGACGCCGTTGATAGGGTTGTACTTGGGGTTGTTTCTTTGGGTGAAGCTGAACATGGTGTCGAATTTGGTCACTTTTTGGACTAGAGAGGAAGATGAGGGGTTTTAGGAGGTGGAAGTACCTATTTCGTTCCGTTTTTGGATATCGTTCATGTCAACGCTGTTGCGGAGGAGAGCAGGGACGAAAGCTGATTTTGAGATCATCTGGAGTGAGTCTTTGATTAGAGTATCGTCGGTTATCTTTTGGAATGGGGAAATTAGCTTGTTTTGGAGAATATTGAAATTAGTGTTGTTGTTACTACCCCTGATGATACCGTCGATCTAGAGATGAAGGATGAGATTACATCAAAAGGGTCGTCTTGGATGGAGAGGATATCACCATTGTCACTCTGAGTTTCTAGGAACTCGTAAGGGTCTTCATATTCAGTCTGTTGCTGTTCTTTCTTAGTCTTTGTGGAAAGAATTGTATTTAGCTCGTTTATACGCTCTTTTGCCTTTTGCTGGTATCTGAGTTTCTTTTCCTTAAGTCTCTTATTCAAAGCTTTCCTTTTCTCTTCAAGCGCTTCAGTTTCCTTTTTCAGTTCCTCAATTTTTAGCTGCTTGTCAGTCTTCTCACGTTTATAAGGAATACTTTGAACAGGGGTCTATGAATTTAAATGAAAAGCTACCTTAGATTCACTAGCTAATCTAAGTTTTTCCTTTCTGTCCTCCTTCTCATTATCATAATGCTCAAGTGTGGCTTTCTGTTTTTCAAATTTCTTAAATAATTCGCTCTGCAAAATATTATTAGAGTTTAATTTAGGAACATTCACAGGAGTTTTAGCCTTCTGCATGACTGGAAGTTCTGGAATAACTGGAGCTTTTTCTTCTTCAATCGGCCTAGCTCCAATATAGGGCTGGATGCTCTCAAGGAGTTCTGAAATTTCATCCTTTTTCTCTTCGTACTGAGGTTCTGGATTGGGTGTCTCATACAAAATGTTAGACTCAGGCTCAAGAGGCTTGCTATCTCCTAAGGAGAATACTTGTTCATCCATTCCTTGAACTGTAGGTCTCTTATACCTGATGCTAAACTTGTTACTACTTTCATAAGGCTGAAGATGATTTCTTTGAGGCTTCATATATCCTTTATTCACAGGTAATGACTGATTCACTGAATATGAATTATTCGAAAATATCTTCGGATTCCTTTCTATCGGAGCTTCAGGTGCTGGTTTATACTCCTCGACTTGGATAGTAGGAATTATCTTAGCAGGCTTTATTTCTTGGACTTTTGGAATATCCTTGGGCACCTCTCGAGGCTGGACCTCTTGGCTCTGAAGAATGGCTTTGTTAATCTTCTGTTGAATACTACTCAAAGCTCCATTTCCAAATCTAGATCTTTTCTTCTTATGGGTATCATCCATAGATAACATTTTTCCAAGCTGGGAATTGAGGCTTTCAGCCTGAACGTTCCCTAAAGAACCTCCTGGAAGATTTCGGCCATTATTTCTAGTTCGGTTCTTAAAAGTACTCTTGAACCCTTCAGGATCGACAGACTTATTTGTATGTAACGAAGGAGTTTGCTTTTCAGGGTCGCTATAGCTTCCATCTTGCTGGACTCTTAATTTTTCCTGGGCTTTCTTGAGTACATTACTCTTAAAGGATATTTTGATATTGCCTCTTTTGGCTAAAAGTTACAAACCTTGCTTACGCCTGGTATTGTTCAAGCTGTTGTTCACTGTGTTCCCTTGGCCGATGTAAATCCTCTGCACATTCGGGTTGTCATGATACCTTTTGTTCACTATCGAAGGCAACTTGAGTTTGTTCTCCACAGAAGGTAAGTTTACATGTGAATTAGCCTTATTTCAAAGAACTATTGAAACTTTCCATGATATTTAAGGTTCTCACAGGTTTATTTAGAGTTTAACTTAAAAGTATCCTTAAACTCTTTTGGCTTGAATGGAGGAAGTAAAGGTTTAGGCTCATTGAATCTTTCCGTTTTAGACCCACTCAGATCTAGATTGTCAACTGCAGGAGGAGCTGGTGTTGATAAAAGTTTGATATCATTAGGCTTATCTCTCTTCAAGACACCTTTTAGCTTTGGCTCTTGATCTCCCATCACAGACTTGGGAGGAGTTTGCAAGATTTCTGGCTGATCTTTAAAATTGACAGACTTCTTTCTTTTGAGGACTCCCTTTTTCTTCATAAATATTATTTCAATAAATAAGATAACCTGGGGTTTTGGGGTTTTGGGGTTTTGGGGTTTTGGGGTTTTGGGGTTTTGGGG